CGAACTTTTCTCAACGAATATTGATATTATCTATTTCAAGCTAAAACATACAAAAGTGACGTATTCAAAAAATATAATCTGAATGTGATATATTCTATATTTAAACTTTTTGGATGTAACTATTTATTATCACTTAGAATCCCAACAGAAGTATTATTATCTTCTCCTGTGGTCGATGAAAAACTGGTGAAATTCAAAGGGAAACGTGTGTTTGATCCAGCAGAAGAATCTCAGTTAATTTAAACATTAAAAAAATGTCACAATATGATTAGATAAGCGAGTATATGTATCTTGAGATAAGATATTATTCAATAAAGTACAAAAAGAACGTTCAAATGTATAATCGACAAGGTCAAGATTATTTCTCAAAATTCTTTTTTTTGTCCAATCATGCGAAAAAATGTGGCAAGAAATCAGGTTAAAATAGCACAATTTAAATTCGATTAAAATCATACCATGTTATCGAGTTTTAAAATCAAACAATAGTGAATTTTAATCTCATTTCTTATCACATTCTTTACATGGATTTCAATAACCAATAACCAGAGCATTTTAATTGATGAGATTTCCAGTAATCACCAAGCTATCCACTGTATTTCATTATTTGTTTCTAATTTTGTTGCTCTGTTTATCTGTTCTCTTTTTTTCTTAACTTATATTTTCATTGTCATTATTCTCCTTCTAATAAATGTACAGAGTTCATAAACATGAATAAAGTATGTGGTCAATGTTTATCTTGCTGAATTTCTTTGGTTTTATTCAGACCCTAGACCTCAATTATTGGATAGAATTTGTTTCTCCAATATCTACTGTTCAGAAAGCTTATCCTAGTAGATGAATCGCACGAATAATTTATATCAAAGTATCCATATTGAGGGGTACACTGAGAGATCACCAAACAAAGACGTAAATAACACTTGAAGAATTCCAGGATATTGCTTGAATTCTCTATCTTTTCACTTGACTTTCTTTTAGTTTTTGTCTCGCATAAATCTATCAGTGTTCCCTGTTCGAAATGACTAAACTACTGTTGATTCAAAAATCCTGTTGACTCTATTGTGTTACAGATAACTCAGGCATCGAAGTTGTTCGCAATCTGCGATTTTCAGTATTCGAAATAGAACCGGTGATTTCATCAATTTACATGAAAATCAAACAATCTAACAGTGATTCGAAAACATTTCGATCCATCGCACTAATAGTAGTTTTCACTTTTTGTATAGTCATCCCTTTATTGATCATCGCTGGTCTCTATATGTTTCATATAGGGAAGAAGTGTTGAAAGGAGTCACAGTATAGTGTTAATTTACGTATGATGAAACTTTTCTCCACTTAACATTCGTTTCTGTTGTGTGCACTTATATGATCTCTTTCAACGTCAAAGTAGAAAGAAAGAACACGATATGATTGAACGTGTACTGTTGCAATATGAAAGATACAACACATGTATTCAATGCCAAGCCAAAACCAATAATGACATAATTTAAAAAATACATTAATATAAATTCTCTTTAGTATCAGTTAAAACAAAGAAGCTAATAAACTATCCTTTTATTAAATATTCTAATCTAATCGAAAGCAATAATTAATAATACACGCACTGAATCTAGTATACACCTGGCGGTGAATTATTGTAGCATAAACAAACTTTAATAACCCATGTTGCGAAAACCGGATCAGTTTTAGCGGTAAACCGCCGGTTTTAAATGATACTGCGGTTCTTTAGAAATTCCACCGGTCAGCTGCGGTTTATCGCTAGTTTTTCCGGTGAAGAAAAGACGATGAGTGTGTATAGAATGAAAAAACAACGTTTATATATACAATGTGTTCGCCGATCTTTCGCTCATTTTGCTGGTTTGAGGCACAGTATAGATTTAATTATTCTTATACATAATTTTTTCATAATTATTTCGTTTTTAAAAGATTAAGTTTTTAGTATTTATTTCTTTTTTTATTAATATTTTAATATGGACTTCTCTTTTAGATTCATTTTTTTATATTTTATTTTTAAATTCCTGTTTTCACATTTTATTTTTAATTTAGTTTTTTTTACATTTTATTTCTTTAGATATTTTTTTGCAGTAATTATTTTTGTGTTTATTTTTTAATCTAAATTTTTTGTTTTTTGCTATGTACAATTTTTCTTGTTTGCCTGTATTTTTCTTTTGAAAGAAACTAGTTTAATTCAAAGATAACTGTTAAATTTAAAACAAATATTGGCGAGACCCAGCCTCGAACAGTGCCGGTAAACTGCGGTTTACCGGACGAAATCGCCGGTTTTTGTTCGGTTTTCATCACATGGGAAGGATATAATGTTCTTTTAGAGTTAGTCTTAAAACATCTTTACAACTAATACTCAGTCTATTAAGCATTGGTTTCAGTACTGTACATGGCCAAGGACTAAAAGATAGAATTTTGAAAAAGTCGCTTTTTTTGACTCAGATAATTACACTTAATTATGTTGCATTTTTTTTCTTATTATCGTGATGATTTTGTAAATTTTCGAATTTTTTTCTATTGTAAATATTATACAGGCTAAATAAAAATTGCTGCTTCTTGTTCAGCTTTTTTGTTCCTTCGAATGATATGTATTATTCAAAATAATTGATCACAGAATGGTCAAATATATTAATACAGGCTATCGAATGAGTCTATTGAAATAAGTGCTTGAAATTTGACTATGCTACGTGTGAATTCTACACGGTCTCATGAACTTTCTCTTAAATAATGAACAGCTTCATAAAACTGAAAACTTAGTATTAACAGAACTCGATATTGATTTATATTTGAAAAGACTACAAATCGATACTTCAACTATAATAATAACCAACGTAGTATCAATGACAGCATCACCATAATCTTATAAGGAACGTAAAAGACATAATATCTCACGAGTTATTGTCGTTTGATGAGTTTTTTTGTATGTGCAAGAAATGACATGGCCATCCAACTGAACAATAGCTTGTACCAAAAAGTAGTCACCATTTAAACAAGAATTGTGCCAGTAAATGGCAACAATTCGTACAATTTGAAATTTTGGTTAGTATTGGTGTCAAAAAGAAGAAAGTCTTTTGATAGCTCGACCATTTGTTACATGTTACAACTGTATTTCAGGAAGTAGTATGTCGTATGAAACTGCGCTCAAAACTGCGGAACATGTTCAACCTAAAGCCTGATCATCACTTGTACTAACAACAAGTCTACTTTATGCTTTTTTATATACGAATATTCGGTTGATTGTTAACTGAAAGTAGACAACTATCTGTTTAAGTATGAAAGGAAGCTATGTATAGCTATATGTCATGACTAGACGAAACATTTACTGATTTATGTATTACAGCCTCTATCTCTTGAGAACAGAGAAAAAAGAAGTCTGTTTTTGACTAAAAACGTTTTAAATCAATTCGATAAATTAATTAAGAACGATATGTCAAGTCTTGTCAAATGAGAATAACATAAATATGAATTAGGGAATAATCCATATCATAGAAGTTCATTAGAAAATGCATACAGTAACTTACAAGGGAGTCGCTCAAAGCAATGAAAAGCTTTTGGCCTAATATTCGGTCGATTAAATAGAGCACCTCTCGACCAGAAAAATCCTAAGAGAATATGAGTCTGAGTTGCGATTTGGTTGAGGAATAGAGGTTTTACTGAAAATTCCTCTGCAAAATTTTGATCTCTCATCAAAATTATATTTTTCAATTTGAACATGATACTTAGTCCACTTAAACGTTTCGCATATATTAGCTTGAACGAAAACTTTCAAATTTTTCGAATGTATCATCCTTAAGAGTTGGGTTTTTTAAATATCCATGTGCCATACAACTTCTATCGGCAAGGTGTGGGGTGTTTTTGAAAAATTTTAATTTTGAGATGCGATGCCGAAAAATTCTAAATCTTTATCATAAGTTAGTTTATTTTGAGATGTTAACATAGCCTCAGGTTGAAATTCAGAAAAATAATTTTGCTAAAGAATCAGAATCCTGTAGGAAATTTACGAGTAAAACTTTTAAATGCCAACTAAATCGCAATATGGATTCATATCCTCCTCGACCTGTCAGAATTAGCATAACAAAGTGAGTGACCTGGTATATCATTCTACCATTTCAAACGAATTGAATTTTTTCTGCATCTCATCTGAAATCTTAGACGGATATAAAATTCAGCAACAATGAATTTTCTCACCAAACAAGCGAGTGAGACGAACACCGACACGTATTTTTTTGATTAGTGATAATAATGAATAGAAGGAGATAAAATATTTGACTTAATAATGCAACTGAAAACCTGGATAGGTTTAAAAAATTAATCCATTAATGGCCTAGAATAATGAGAGTGAGTGTCCATCAACAGTGCCATTTTATGACTAAAATCAGTTCAACTTCGTTTTCAAATTCAACTTTTTATATTAAATCATAAAAAGAAGTTCTGAAAATATCGATTGTTTTTTTAGCATAAAAACTGCATCCATACACATTAAGAAGCAGTTTTTCGTAATCAGTGACTCACACTCGATCAAACAATGTGTGAATAAAGCGAAAAAAATCAGCTTTCATTTCGCATATACATACGTTTCTTTTTCTTTCTCTTTGTATACACATTAATCTCGAGTTCACGCTTAAGGTCTCACATGACCATGTTATGCTTGATAGCGTTCAGTGCACATTTCTCTTACGTTCATGCTTTGTCATTCAATCGTAGCGTCGGTGGGTAGTCGTATATGAAAGCTGCATTAAGCCATGTTCATCTGAATCACTACGTTGCATTTGATTTCACAGGTAATTTCGTTCGACTAAGTATTTTCTAGCTGTTGTACTGCAAAATTTCATCGGTTTCGGTACATTAAACTGTTCAAAAAGAACTTGCATGACTATCGAAGAATTGCTCCATCCAACGGTGGTCGAGCAGTTAAAGTTTTTCTAACGAAATATTCGTTAATGAAAGTGAGATATATTTAGAAATCACTTTTGCAAGATCAAGGTTATTTACATTTTTAGATGCATCCAAACGAAAATAATACAAAGAATTCTCATAGTGAAGAAGCACATACAACTGGTACAGTTATTCTGTTTTTATCGTTTGCTGTCTTAGCCGCATGTATATGCAAATTAATACTATCACAAGTGTTGAAAAATAAATTTCCTGCTCCATTCACAGTGATCGTACTTATTTTGGGCTTCATTATTGGTATTATTATTGCACTTATTAATCAGATGAGCAATGATTTTCTTCTTGGTGAAGAGCAATTGAGAGAAATCAATCCTCATCTTCTTTTTTATATTTTTTTACCATTGCTTATCTTCGATTCAGCTTTCAATAGTCATTTTCATATTATCCGACGTCAAATTATCTTGGGAATACTTTTAGCTGGTCCCGGAGTTTTTATAAGCATGACCATCGTCGCATTATGTGCGATATATATCTTTCCATACAATTGGTCGTTGATAGATGCTTTGATGTTCGGAAGTATCCTCAGTGCTACGGATCCCGTTGCAGTTGTAGCATTATTGCACGAGTCTGGAGCAAGTAAATCATTGGCGGCATTGATTGACCTTGAATCATTACTCAACGATGGTTCTGCATTTGTTCTTTTCTCCATTTTCAAAGATATTGTAATTAAACAAAGCACAACTGCCAAGAAAATCATTATCGATATTGTCAAGTTTAGTATTGGTAAGTTGTGGTTGAACCAGTCGATTTACCCTATGATTTTTGTTCAATGAAATATTTCAGGAGGTCCTGTATTTGGTTTTGCCTGTGGTATCTTAACCGTATTTGTTTTAAATTTGGTTAATAACGAATTGGAAATAGAAATCATATCAACATTTGGCCTGGCCTATCTGGTTTTCTACGCTGCTGATGTTGAACTCGGTGTTTCAGCGGTATTGGCTCTAGTTGTCATGGGATTGTTTATGGCCAAACATAAATATTGTATTAGTAGTCATGTACAACTTCCGATAGCTAGCACTTGGCGTATTATTATCTATTTTATAAATATTCTAATTTTTATCATCACAGGTATTATTTTGGCTCATTCATTAGTTGGCACTCAAAAACATATTGACGGGCGCGATTTTGGACTCTCAATAGTTTTGTATCTTGCTCTGCATGTGGCACGCTTGCTGTCCATTGGCATTCTTTATCCATTTGTCAACTGGAGTGGTGTTCAGCTCTCATGGAAAGAACATATTGTTCTGACTTGGAGTGGTTTACGAGGTAGCATGGCAGTGATCTTGGCTTTAATTGTTAAATCAGAGGAAGATATTGATGAGGCAACAAGGAATCGGGTGCTCTTTCATGTTTGTATGATTGCACTCCTTACTCTGATTATTAATGGAACCAGCAGCAAGTTCTTGGTGAAATTTCTTGGATTAGACCATGGTATGTGTACTTATGCTCATACAAATTCAAACATTCGTTTTCACATATCAATATCAGATGAAGCGATGTAGAGACGATCAATAGTTATCGTAATATGATGTCCTTCGTTTCTAAGAAGTATGTTGTATTTCTACTGTAGATAGCTTCGAAGAGCTGATTCTTCGACAACGTATTCAGTGTAGCATGAGTGTTTGTAATTAGTGAGTCAGAGAATAATCATGCTCGATTAGCGTCAAATATCGCCTAAATGAATTTTCAGAAGGATTGAGAAATCGCTTTGCAGATTTAATTAAGAACAACAGAACTTGAATGATTCAACCAGTTTATCTATACTGCTATTCTAGGTACGCCGGAAAGTGAAACAGTTCTATTACAAGCTCTTGAGCACATGCGGCGTCAAACGTCGGAGCAACTTTACAAAATGAGACGTGAGAAACAATTTACTGATGTTGATTGGAATATGCTCAATGAATATTTGCCCGATAAGCTTGTGCAAGAAATGGATGCAGAACGAAGAACAACCATTCATCGGAGATTATCAATCATTCCAGGCTCTACTACGGTGAGTCCTTTACCAGCCTCTCGATCAAAAAGTACTACAACTGATATCGAACTATTGGAAGCTCCGACCATCTATGAGACTGATTCGATCTCTAATGCCTCGATTCTCGGTCAATATGATACATTACACGCTGATTTCGTACTGCCCATATTAGATTTTCGAACAACAAATAATAAACAAAATCAGAATATGCGAAACGAATTAATCACTCGGTTTCTCACAGCATTTTCGGTCGACTACGAGAAGCAATGGTATCTCGGTATGATCCGTCGTCGGACACTTTATATTCTAATTGAGTCAGTAGAGAAAGCCAAACATCAATATTCGCTCAAACTTCATTGGGAACTGATCGTTGAACAATTCCGATTATCATTGTTCCTACGCTACTTAATGCGATTCGATTATGTCGATTGGATCAACAGACAGTTGAATAAATTGCTGTTTGATCACATTTTTCTCACTATCGAATTGACTCTGGGTAGGTACTTGAATAATGTTCACTGAGTTCATATCGTTTTAACGAAAATGTTTCATCTGTCTTACAGCTTTCCATTCGGCGAGAACGCGTATGGACAATATTCGAGTACAGTTTCCAGAATTGGTCAATATCGATGAACGAATATGGAACGAAGTTTATCAAGAGACTCATTTGTACCAGCATACCGCTGCTTATATTCTTCTCGATCTACAAGAATCTTATCGTGTTTGTTGGCGAATCCAAATGACGAAAAGATGTGCTCAAATGTTGTTAAAATATGAATCGACAGCTGTTACGCAACTCTATGAAACTGGAATGTTGGGCGAAATCGAATATTCCCATATTCTTGAATTAATCGAAAATAAATTGTTTGATTTGGAATTTTTCCGTGTTAAAATGCCAAAAGGTCAGCCGAAAGCTATTGAAAATGCTTTTGATTTATTGGTAACCTTTCGATCGATTCCTGATCAAGAACGGGTAATGTGGGAAACAATTTTAAAATCGAAACAAGAATGGTTTCAACCAGGGGAAATTTTATTAGAAAAAGGCCAAACAGTATCTACGGCCTATTTGATCGCTCGTGGTATTGTTCAATGTCAAGTGGATGCGATGCCTATCTATTACCGATCGGGCAATATAGTGGGTATCGATGCTTTGTTCTCGCAAAATTTGACTGCACATGGTACTTATTCTGTCAGCGGTGGACTTTTGGAAGCCTATCGTATCGATGCGACATTATTAAACCAATTATTAACTGATGAAAATTTAGCTCCGTTGATCTACCATGAAATTGCTTTACATATCTTGAGCAACAATTATCAGACACATTTAAAATTGAATCGTTCAGAAGTGAAACGACTATTGCGAAGTAGAGCGAAATTCTATCGAAAACAATCGGATTTATTGATTCGACTGAAAAAAAACGAACGATTATTTCTTCTCGCCGGTAGTGTCGTATCTTCTTCCGAAGGACAAAACCATCTCTATGATTCCATTCAATTTGAAGCCTTCGATAAACCGACCATGATTCATTTTAATACATCGACGGTTGTCTACACGTGGACAAATGACGATGAAATTAATTGTAGCAAGACTAAAAATATCAAAGTCCATTTTCCGGTACAAACTTTTGGCTCAATTTCGAACGATTTGCTGTATCCAGGATATTCGGGTACAAACACTGAATTTTCTGGACGAAAACATTTAGTAGAATCGTTGCGCTTCGCAGAAAATTTCAAGGATGTTCAAGAGATGCCATCTGAAACAAAACCTAGTTTAGAGCATAAATTTTAACTTAAACTCCATATGAATCACAGAAAAGATTTGATTGTCGAACCCATTTTCTTCTACTAACATTGTCGAATGAGTCGACTTTTATTTATATCGCAATCTTTATGTGCTCTTTTTTGTCGATCTAAAGTAGATTTTTGAAAAACTATACTTCTTCATTATTTTTCGTCATGAAATCTCAAACAATTGCTCTACTGATGTTTCCAAACTAGCATTGATCCCTCCCCTCTTCACATTTCAAATATGCTGCAATCATCGATTTATTGGAATAGTTTGATTAAGAATGCAAATAAGTATTATATTGCGTAACCTAAAAGTAGTTTTTTCGAAGACCAAATTGAGTTATTCCTGCTACCACTACCATAGCAATTCTCGTAGTTCATGGGATAAAAGAGAGACAAGAAATAAATCAATGTCAATCAGAACGAGTAATTCAATAATGAACTTGCACTTCTCACAATTTTTCGCTGGATCTATTGCAACAGTATTTATACTTGGTTGCATGCATATTCAATCTATGCAGCAGTTCTAATTTTTTGTTTTTTCAGGAATCACTCCAATTCCTTCTACTTAGTTTTGTTGAACAATTTTGATCTTCTAAGTTCTTGATACTCTTGTAAAAAAAAAAAAAGTAGTGAAAACAAGAAAAAGATTATTCATCATAACTAAAAGGAATCAGAGCCCGTTGTCATATATATGCATACCTGTTGTAAGAATTTGTGTTTTTCTTCTTCGGTATATTCTGAAATTTTCAATCAACGATAACAGAATTTCATCGAGGAAACTGCACACTTAAGTGTTGCAATCATTAGGGTTTTACTCTAATTGGTACCAGCACCTGTCTAAACCGAACCGGTCAGTAGATCGACATGAGTCATTTTTCATCCTGTAAGAGTCAAATCAATCCATCAATTAGTTAAAGATTCATCGATGGACATAAAATTTCATAAGACTACAAATTCTATATTAGCTTTTGTACATTAATGAAATGTTTGTCAGACATAGAAACTCTGAATTGACTGTAGATGTGCTCTGTGTTTCACAATAGGTTTACTTTCTTATCTATTTTGTCTCTGCGAAGGATATCGGATAAAGAATACGAAATGAAAATACATACGTATAAATAAATTACAATGACGAACGGTGATTCGATTTTGTTTCGATAATCTGACTTGATATCGACATGAGTTGATAAAATAGATATTTAACATACTTTGATGAATATTTCCTTAATAAAAATAGTCATTGATATCAGTAAAACCGGCTCGATATATGAAGAAAAATGCATTTATAAAACATGAAAAAAAAAACTTGGAAAAGTCTACACTTACCAGAAAGAAATCGTCCACCGAACTGTCTATGTACCGTTACCAGTTGCAGCACTGGAGTATTCCAGCTAAGCTGCTCACTGGCTCAAACAATACTATGTTCTCTTCAAACTATTTAAGAGAGACCCCTAGCTGATCCTCTGATTAACTAATATTAATTATACTTAATAATATATCGATCTTTTCGAAAGAAAGAACCTTTCACTTGTTAGATTCTCAAAATCAAAAGCCTCAAATAATCGTTTCGTCATACAGATTTCTCGATCTTGAATATCTTGGCTGTAAAGTTGTAAAGTAGCATTATTGTTTAAATATAGGCTTTTCTTGTTAAACATATAAATTTTTCTGTATCTTTTACTGCTATCCAAGAAGTGGTAACGAAACTGGTTAATAACGCTAAGTTTCCTCCCCTAATCAGTGTCAACAAATAAAAAGTCGTCTGATATCTCATATGTATTTTGAAACAATATCAGGCTGGAATTATTTATATATGAATACTTTTTCCTATCTCTGATGCGAAATATATTATTCAATATTTTTAATCACTTAAGCTAATTCATGTTGACAGTGTCTGAAAAGGATTTTTGTTTGACAAAATGAAAATAATTTCATTTAAATGAATTCAGTTTGACGTTTAGGAATTTTAAGATACTTATAACATAACATTAAACAGATTTTTGTTATGAAAATATACTTTCAACGACTACTGAAAAGTAATATAATCTAATGTTGATTTAACAAAACTGACAGTTTTATATCTGATCGAACTCTTGCTCTCCTTCAACCCATACAATCATCTTCACTATTCAGATGAAACTTTTCGAGTCATTTTAAATATTAACTGATTACTTAATGCAAAGATCTACTCTATTATATCTACTTGATCAGAGTAATCATGTAATTGTAACTTATCACAAGTTACCAAAGTATCTATTACAAATCTTAGTTGGCATTTGAAATACTACGTAGAAAAAAAGTATAAATGTTTTTTTTTTTTTTAGATTACTTGCTGATAATAGTTATGTCAACACCATAGTGCATTGAGGATCAGAGTAAGATGAATATTTCGATAACAGTAAGAGTTAGCGATTCAAGATTTTCAGCAATAAACAAAGGAAAAACATTGAAACGTTTTTTCTCTGATGATTATATATAAGATGAAATTGTAACAACAAACTAGACGATTAACTTACCGTCGTTCCACTAATGATTTCATATGTCTAGTATGTAATTACTTAATATACAATATACGCTTATATAAGATATATCATGAGAGAGAGAAAGATAAATATATGAAAAAACAATCGATATAAAATAAACATGAAATAAGAATGGGAGATCAGCAAAAAGTTATATCAATAACGGCATAGAAATCGTTCGTAAAACTAATATTTTATGATTATTTTCTCATATTCTAATATTGATCATATAAGATAATGTATCTGTTTGATCTAATAATATAGAATCTTTGTTCTAG